ATATTATATTATATTATATTATATTATATTATATTATATACTAAACCCTAAACCCTAAACCCTAAACCCTATTATTAACCCTAAACCACCCATACTGCTGCATCTCTCTCCTCAATAGAGCAGCTTATATATGCATTTCTAGGGTTTAATATTTAGGGTTTAGGGTTTAGGGTTTAGGGTTTAGGGTTTGGGTTTTATAAACCCTAGCAACAGCCCCCGCCTCGCTTGTGGGGGGTGGGGCTGGCGAGCGGTTGCTGTTGGGGCTCTGGTGTAAACCCTAAACCCTAAACCCTAAACCCTAAACCCTAAACCCTAAACCCTAGAAAAGCAATTGTGATTGGGTTTTTTAGGTTTATTATATTATTTGTGTTTGTTGGCCTTAGGGTGTCTCGCTTCTGCCGCTGCTGCTACCGCTGCTGCTGCTGCTGCTGCTGCTGCTGCTGCTGCTGCTGCTGCTGCAGTTACCTGCGAGACTAGAGCTGTTTAAGCCCTCGGCCTGAAACCCTAAACCCTAAACCCTAAACCCTAAACCCTGCATTGATAGCAGATATATTGTAAGAATGAGCAACAAATACGTCCCCCCTCACCTGCGTGGTGGGGGCGGCTCTGCTGCAGCAGCAGCAGCAGCACCTGCTGCAGCAGCAGCAGCAGCAGCAAGCCGACCCCCAGCAACAGTTGAGGGTGCAGCAGCACTAGTGAATAACATCCTGCGTGCTCGAACAGCAGAAGAGGCAGGAGCTCAGCAGCAGCAGCAGCAGCAGCAGCAGCAGCAGCAGCAGCAGGGTGAGGGGGGGGCCCCCGGGGGCCCCTCTCCAGCCGAAGCAAAGGGTGCGTGGGGGTCCTGGGGCAGGGGGGCCCCCAACCTACGCACAACAAAACAGCCGCAGCAACGCTCCTCTGCGTTGAGGGTTGTTGAGGTTGACTCTCTCGTTCTTATGAAAATCATTAAACACTGGAGGTAGGGTTTAGGGTTTAGGGTTTAGGGTTTGAGGGTTTAGGGGTTAGGGGTTAGGGGGTAGGGGTTAGGGTTTGAGGGTTTAGGGTTTAGGGTTTAGGGTTTAGGGTTTGAGGGTTTAGGGGTTAGGGTTTAGGGTTTAGGGTTTGAGGGTTTAGGGGTTAGGGGAGTGGTGGGAGATAGACTCTTTGTCCTCTCTAGGGTTTAGGGTTTAGGGTTTGAGGGTTTAGGGTTTAGGGTTTAGGGTTTAGGGGAGTGTTGGGAGATAGTCTCTTTCTCCTCCCATTGCTCTAGGGTTTAGGGTTTAGGGTTTAGGGTTTAGGGTCTCCTTTGTTGTCTCCTTTTTTTACTGTCTCCTTTTTTATATCCTTTACTGTCTCCTCTCTCCTTATTGTCTCCTTTTGTCTCCTTCTCTTTCTGTCTCCTTCTGTCTCTTTTTCTGTCTCTTTCTCTCTCTTTCCTTCTCTTTCTGTCTCCTCCTGTTTCTTTTTCTCCCTTCCTTTTTCTGTCTCTTTCTTTCTTTCTCCTTCCGTCTCCTTTTGTCTCTTTTTTTTTTCTGTCTCTTTCTTTCTTTTTCTGTCTCTTTCTTTCTTTTTCTGTCTCTTTCTTTCTTTTTCTGTCTCTTTCTGCCTCCTTTTGTCTCCTTTTGTCTCCTTCTTTCTCCTCCTTCTTTCTCCTCCCTCTACTGGCTCATTTTCTGTCTCCTATATATATATATATATATA